TCACACAGCCACTGAAAAAAATCATTGATTTTGGTGTTTTCATATGCCGAATTTATCCAATTATAGCTATCCCATTCCTTTATTTTTTTGGTTTCCAATAGCCTTACACAATTGGATGTCCCTACACACGTTAAAGCAGACCTTGATGGGAAAACAAATTGATTGTGCCGATAAACAAGCTTGAAAATCTTTGCTCTTACTTCATGGACGTTTTCTAGGAGTTTATGTTTTTCAAAATACAAGGTCTTTAACAAAAAATAACCTATACTTATTGTCGTCGGATTAACACCAAATTTTCACAGCTTTGAGGTGACAGTGAGAGGAACTTGAATGTGTCCAGACAAACTATTTCATCGATTATTTACCAACGAATTGTGGTTTGAGTTGGGGGCAATGCGACTAAAACAGTAATTGAAATTCAGCACGCTGTTTTTTAAAACGCGTTGCTTGCATAAAACTGACCAGACACATTCAATTTACCAGACTATTGAACAACTAGAAAAAGTGAAAAAAATACTTCTTATCGCCAGCATAAATGCGTAATTATTTTTTTTACAGAAAAAGTAATTTTTCACCTTTGATTAAGTAACGGGTCATAGAATGCAGATACGGGCATGGCAAACACACTTTTGAAAAGCTTGAAGTCTGGCGATTCTAAAAATATATACTTTCCTGGGTCTATTTGTAGTCATTTGGTCACAATTAGAAGATGAAAAAAAGTATGCAAATAATAGTCCCGCTACCTTAAGTGGATTAATAATACACATGAGCAGCATGTAGGACACTGAAAGAAAATATATAGATGACGAATTTCATTTAATTTGGGTATGTGTATGTCGTAAATATAAACTAGTATGCGAGCTTTATATACCAAGGTATTATTTCACATATTTGTTTGAGAAGTGTTAAAATCTCTTTTTAAGCCCACTTTACGCATTTCATTTTTGGGGTGAAATGGCCTGTAATGAATGAATAAAAATTTGTAACAGTATAAACCAACGGTCTTGGAAAGCACGCCACCAACGGCAGTAATCACCGCAAAGCAGTGAACGAAATGGAGCCGTTTCCCCGGAACTGTCTGCGGTGGAGTTGAGGTCGCCACAATATACGTGAGATAAAATATCAGCGTGATTTATGAGTCAAGTCACGTGATATGCTGCCTGTTAAATATTTTTAGCTCGATTTCCGAAACAGATCGACTGCCCGAAGGCATTTCTGAGTCATGGCTTTTGAAAACCGGGGTAGACGAAATGGCTTGGCTTACTACTTGAACAGCGTCACTCATGACCATGCTAAAGTGTCTCGTGCTGAAATGGATCGGAATAAAACGTTGGTAGATGACGTTGTCGGTAAAGTTATTGACCATATGCTGAATGACATCACGTTTAAGGCTAGCTACGTTCGTAACATTGGTGTTGGCAGCTCGCATGAAAACCTCAAAGTTCGTGAGGCGGATGAGTTTGATTACAACATTTGCCTTAAAATAACCAAGAATATGGAGTGTCTGGTAAGTTGAGATTAAAATGCATAAATGATGTAATTTAATATAATGTGGCAATGTTATGTCACTTTAAGAAATGACCATTTATTATTCCAAAGGGGGGGGGAATTCTCGGTGCTTTTTCAAAAAAATCAATGGACCCCCCTTTATTCATTTTGTAAAAGAGGGTGCCCCCCATTAGAAAAAATGAAAAATTTGTAATATTTGTAATATATACAATATATATAATATTTTGAAATTTGTAATATTTGTAATATTTGTAATATTTGTAATATTTGTAATATTGACATATATAATATTTTGAAATTTATATTAACAGTTGTACTCACTTGCCTGAAGAAAGTCTATGTTATAAATTAGAACCGTTTTTTCACTGAACAAGGTTATGCAGTCAAGGCCAACAAATCTATCTTCATGTATTTTATTGATCTTTTGCTACATGGCCCCCATCTTTTTTTCAGGGTGAGCCATTTTAATAAATTTTTTGTGTAATCTGACTGATTTGACAATACTGGACTAAGTGTTGGTTATTAGTTGATAATTGGTGTAAATTAAACAATATAGTTAACAAAACTGAAAATTCTTTGTGTTGCTCTAAAATGAATTATAATTTGCGATGAGTTGCATGTTTCCATGAGCCTGCTTGTCATCCAGACCTGGTTACTACAGTCTGTTGTAACATAGCACTGTCATCACTGTCACTATTTTCATCTTCTTCACTGCTGCTGCTGCCTATTTCCAGGTCCACAATGTCATCATCCCCAGAGTCATCAGATTCAACTAGTTCATAAAGAGTGGAGCTTGTTCTTTTCTTAATGGTGCTTATAAGTGTGCGGTAATTTTGTCTTTTTTCTGCTTATCTGTATGTGCTTTTCTAAGGACATCACTAGTAATTGCTTTATTTATCTAGCTCGGCAACTGTTTTTTTTTAAAGACCCATTCAAAACTAAGCATATCCAGTCATATGTCACTGTACTTTGCTTTTTTCAATTTTTTGTTTCATTCTGTCATGTTCTCTTATAGATTTACTGTGCTTCAGATTGGTTAAATGCTGCAAATAAGCTGTTACATCTTTTTCATCAACTGCATAATTCAACGAGAATTCTCTGTTGGCATCACTATTTCCAAGTGACAGTTTATTGTTTTTGAATTGCTTTGTAACGTTGGCTGCCAATCATCTGGTTGTCTATCAACATTGGGTGTATCATGTACGTTTAAGTAATGCAATGGTCTATTAGTGTCCGGTACTGGTTGTGGTATTCTCTCTATTTGAGGTCCAATAAATGAGTGTTTTTTGCAGAAGTTACAGAGATTTCCCTTTTCTTTTCAGCCTTGTTTAATGTATTCCATGTATAAATGCTGACCCCCCTTCAGTTTTGCCTGATCCCCACTCTGGAATAATAAATGGTCATTCCCTTAGGTCATGTGTTTGTCCTAGCCATTATGTCACTTTAGGTCATGTGTTTGTTCTAGCCATTATGTCACTTAGGTCATGTGATTGTCCAGCCATTATGTCACTTAGGTCATGTGATTGT